GTGAAACAAAAATATGGCGTACAAAAGATGAAAAATGGCGAGAAGGTTGTATGGCTGTTGCTGCGACTGGTGGTGGAGGTCGTGCTGGGTTTTGGGGTGTTATCACATGGAAAGGAGCGGGTTGTTTCAGGATTTATACTGAAAATACGAATAGTGAAGTCTATTGCAACATCTTAGACAATTATTTAGTTCCAACTGTCCAAATGTACGGTTTCGAAAATGATTTTATGCTTCAACATGATAATGCGGGTTATCACACATCCAATAAAACTCAAGAAAAATTACAAGAATTAAATGTTAAAGTACTCCAATGGCCAGCGAAATCACCGGATCTCAACCCCGTGGAACAATTGTGGTCGATTATCGATAATAAATTGAAATCGAGGCGAATGTCTTCGATTAAAGAATTAATCGATGGTCTATCTGCCGAATGGTTGAATATAACACCAGAGTTGTGTGAAAAAATTGTATTTTCAATGCCACAACGGATACAGAATTGTATTAAAGCACGTGGCAAATGCATAGATTATTGAATTATATAACTTCGAAGATCATTTTGTTTTGTTTTTATACATGAATAGCTTTTGTCACGGAACTTTTTGCCGCTGAAGGTATTTTCTATCGATTTGTTTTTAATGATGAAATTATCTGTTCTTGATTTCTGAATAAATTATGAAAGGTCTACTAGTAATTATACTAAATATATGAATAGAGTTCCAATTCAATTCAATATAAAATTTTAGGAGGTGATTTACAAGTGTCACGAAACTTTTTGCCACCACTGTATTTCTACGTTGTACTTGAAAAGTACAGAAAGTACAAGTACATGTACTTGCGTCCTACCTCTGCACCGTTATTTTGTGTTTCCAGCTGGATATTTCCAACCAATGCATTACGTCATAATGGAAAATGTTGCTTTTTAACAAGCTTTATTTACAAAAAAAAACAAAAGAAATTTTATTTTGCAGAGTAGAAGAAACAGAATGATGACGCACGTATCATGCCTACTGCTTTTATTAATAATTGTTGAGTTCGACTGCTATAATTTTCAAACAAAGAAAGTTTTCTATATTAGTCATTGTAACGACGAGTGTTCTCTTTGTTTCTTCTAAACATTCAAAGCGATTTTTACGATTACGCACGTTACAGTTGGTGTCGAATTTCCAGTAATAAACTTAAGAGTTTAATCACACTATCTACGTTTCCATTTCAGGATTTGAATTCTTAAGCAATCACTCAGTCAAGTCTTCATACAAGCTTTTATGTGATGTAAACAGCAGCGAAACTTTCAACTGCCTTATATTGGCTACTGCAGTCTCCTTAATACTCATGTACTATCTTGGGGTACATATAGTTCAATTCATAGAACTAAACTATTTCAACGGTTTTTTTAAAAGAACTCAACTGCATGATCTGACATTATGACAAAACCGTGGAATATATTGGATTTCACTATTCATCTACAGCTATACATTCTGCAGTTCTATATATGCAAATGATGCGTTATAGCGTTAGCCGAGAAACTCCATGCATTTAAGATGTCCCGTCATTCTCCGGAAATTGGATTTTCCTATAGACGGTTTAGAACGGTATAGGTTCTGAATGGATGGGGGTTCTATCTTATTGAGGAGACTGTACCGACTATAGGTACAATAAAGACATATACCGCCTATACGGAAGCTATATCTAAAGCTCGCATGCTCCTATTTGAAGTCTTGAGAAAATCAGTTTCCTGGAAAACGCTGTAACACATCAAATCTGTATATGAAAAAGATACATAGGTCTGTTAGGTCTGTACTGAGGGGGTACCCTTGAACCCTCTTAGACTATACTATAGCGATATGCTTCACGGTTTTGGCATAAAGTCAGATCATGCAGTTCAAATCGATTCAGTTAGTCATGTAGTTCAGTTCGCTGAACTGAACTGTTTTGATCAGTTCTTCGACTCTTTCAAGTCGGTTCATGAGCTGAACTATGTATATCTCTAGTACTGTCATTCTCTGTACCTTCACGTTATCTCTCCGCTTCTGTATTTTCCGTATAACTTACACCCAAATTCTTGATATATATTTTATAACTTATTGTTCTTTCAGATTAGTTTTGTATAAACAAACAACAATAATTGATTTTCCGTGGAAGAGGATTACCACGTATGTTTATCTACTTTCTTAAAGTGATCTTGAGAACACATATTAGTTTTCACAGTAAGAAAAGCGTTCAGTGCAATTCCTTATGAGATTAAAAATTTGAAACACGCTGACGCTGTCTCTAGGGTTGCAACGGTGACGGTAATCGGTCTAACCACTTCACCGGTTCCAAGTCTGACCTGATAATTTATAAGTACACGTTCTCCCAACTAAAAATTAGTCAGCGATGTAACTTAAATCTTTATAGTCTTTGGTATATTCTAATGAGCTTTACCAGCATTCAAGTATGTAGACAGTATTAAAATTTGACTATGAATCTTTGGGGAAAAAACTGAATTGCTTGACAGAGCCGATATTCTAGATTATGATGTAATTCATGTTCAGCATCTAGTCTAGATGAGATCTTAACACGTCAACATAAAAAGTATAACAGTTTCTCCAAATTTGAACCACGACACAAAAATATAGAGTCAGAATTTGATTCAGTATGGAGACGGAATGGTCACCGGTTCATACCGATCACCAGTGACTCACCGTCACCGTTGCATCCCTAACTGTCTCACATTATGACCTTCAATTTCAATATTAATGAGTTTTAATGAACGTTTGCTCTCATACAAAAATACCTTTACATTCAACACTTTTCTTATTAACTCACTTTATCTTTTATTAATAAAGAATATTTCAACGCATTCATGAACATCTCTCTGAATATATTAGGCAAAGACGGTTCTAATTAGTTTTATTTTGAGGTTTTCAAGGGACGGTCGCTTTATCCGTCACGTCTGTAATACCAGTTTCCACCTATCGATCCCGTCTGTGATGCCTAAATCCTTCTGTCGGTTACATCTGTGGCGGAGAAGGGTCCAAACCTCTGCCCATAAATACTTCGACACCTTTCAGATCGTGTTTCACAAAACAAAAGGCAGAAAGGCAAAACAACAAAATAATATTCTATATAGAGTGTGACCGCACCCACCAAAGCACTGCCGAAGGTTATAAAAATTTCAGAATGCGATGACAAATTGGAAGAAATAACTTTTAAAATCTGCGAAATTTTTCTATGCTGATTCATTTCAATTTCAGAATGTTTTACAATTCAGTAGCACCAGCTCCACCTGAACCTCCACCACCATATACAACGTTATTTCCTGATCGTCATCAATCTCCAGATCTCGCTCCACCAGAGCCTAGAAATTTACATCCAACAAGACATGCGTATCATGGTCGAGGAAGATGTGAGGGTCTATATCGATATTTAGTTGTACATTGGACCAGTCTTTCAAGATGCACGCGAATTGCTTTAATGGTTTTTCTAGTTTTGTCATTAGTGGTGATAATAGCACTTTCCATTGCACTAGGAATTATGAGATCATCAAATTCAAGTGCAGCAATGACTATGACTCTTACAGGTTTCGGAAATACGACAACAATCACGACGACCACAACTACGACGACAACAACAACCACGACGACCACAACTACGACGACAACAACAACCACGACGACCACCACCACAGTCACGATCGAAAGTGAGCTACATCCTCAAGTAAACGTTAGATATAAGAGCTCAGACGGATCGATTCAAAATTGGAATTCGATAGTTTCAGACAGTCAAATGAGATAATCTGTTGAGATCATAATTAAGTCGCACTAAAACGAACATTCAAGGTGTTTGTAGCTGTTTATATTTTGCCGACAAAAACTAAAGAATCGCGCCTGATTACTTGTTATATTGTCAACTCAGGGAAAAGTAGCATTATATAATTATTATGTAAGGTTGGCGGCACGCAAAAGTCGAGCAAATTTTTTTGGTTGAGTTTTTTCATGTTATCCGATGCAGTTTGATGCGCTGAATCCGAATCAGTATAATTCATTGAGATAAAAAGTTGTCTTCGCGGAGAAATTCTTAGAATACCGCAAAACTCGGGTTTTTCAAAAAATCCGGGTTTTGTCAAAAGGGGCTTCAAAAAAAAATGTTATAGCTTTGAAAGTTTTTTCTACTGATTCAGCATCAAAAACTGATTCTAGGACACTACTTTTTACTCGTTCCATCTATGTTTTTGCCATTAAAAAAAACTCATTTCTGTCAAAAACAGGGTAATTGAGTGCTCCTCAGTAAAAATGCATCAACTCATTTTCTAATGAAGATAGACACATTTTTCTTTCACCGCTCGACTCCCCCGATGCCCTAGATATAATCTACGTATTATCTTTCCTTAACTCACTTTCGTTTTCGAAATTTCATGGTTAATTTCAAAAGTTTCTTATCATAACATTTTTTTCCTGTTTTAAATATCAGTTTCCACTTAGTTTCTTTTTTCCGATGAAGTTAAGTGTTTACGCACTTAATATCAACCGTATCTCCACCTCTAAGAGGATATCTTCAAGTTTCAGAGACGCCCACCTTCACGCAGGATCGGCCCACCCACACCCACAAATATCGAAAAATCGTTCTACTGGTTTCCTTAACGATGCTTCAAATAGTCTTTATCATTACAAACACTTAACTTCATTGGAAAAAAGAAACTAAGTGGAAACTGATATTTAAAACAGGAAAAAAATGTTATGATAAGAAACTTTTGAAATTAACCATGAAATTTCGAAAACGAAAGTGAGTTAAGGAAAGATAATACGTAGANCATGAAAAAACTCAACCAAAAAAATTTGCTCGACTTTTGCGTGCCGCCAACCTTAGAAAAATGTCAAAAATAGATATTCACCAATTCTATTTGTAGAAAAAACGAACGCTAGTGTATATAAGTATATCCATAATATTAGTTTATCGCTATAAGACGGTTGAAAAGCATTTCTAAGAATTCGGGTAACTATCGTTTGCTCTTAGAGATATTAATGAACAATAATTAACAGTTGAGAAATGTAATTAGTTAAAGCATATCTTTTATTTCCATATTTCAGAATGTTTCGACGGCAATTCTACTGTAACAAAAAGTGATGGTGCACGAGTTCGCATACAAGATCTCAAAGAAGGAGATGAAGTATTCGTTGCTTATCAACCTACAAATAATATTATTGAAGTAAAAACTATTAAAATAATAGCTTCGGATATTTATCAAAAATACAATAATTCTTCACCGGTTCATAACCTGAAAATCCATGTTGAAGGAAACGGTCAGAGAAATCCAATATATATAACTCCAACACATTCACTTCTTGTTCGAAAAAGCTCTCACGGAACCAAAAGTTATATTTTCGCCTCGCAGCTAGAACTCAATGATTATCTTTATTTAACTACAAATAATTACCAAGTAATTAACGAAGTGAAAGTTATTAAAATTAATGAAATCGAATTATTTGATGCATATGCACCATTAACTTTTGAAGGGAATATTATTGTTAATGATGTTATTGTATCTTGTTACGGATCATTTTCTCATGACATTGCGCATTTGATAAAAATGCCTCGACGATTTTGGCTTCGTTTTTATATTTCTATAGAGCATCTTTTACTAGATATGGTAATTGTCTGATCACATATATAAGTAGAATAAAAAGCTTTCAGTGCAATCCCGTACGGGGTTAAACATGTAAAGTACGATGGAACTATCTCACAGTGTGACCTTCATTTTCAATATTAATGAGTTTTAATGAACGTTTGCTCTCATACAAAAATATCTTTGGAACCAACACTTTTCTTGTAAACTCACCTTATTTTTTATTAATAAAGAATATTTCAACGCATTCATGAACATCTCTCTGAAAGTAATAGTCAAAGATGGTTCTCATTATTTTAATATAAGTTATTGATGTTATATATCACCTTCTAAGATTCTCGTGCTTTTCTGATATTCTTCTAGATATATTTTGGTCTAATCAGGCAAAATTTCATTCGCCAAGCAAAACAATTTCTTGTTAATATGACAAGAATCTTGATCTCTAATATCGTCATCAGTAAAAATTAGATCTAATCATATTTATCTACTACTTACTATAAAAACTTCTCTATTATTTCAAACATTAGAGAAGAATTAAAGATAATGATAAATCAATATCATGAGTTACCTTTGTTAACAACTTAATTTATATTTTAAGTGTTACAAATCTCATAATATTGCTTTTCAATTAGTTCGAATTGAGAATGACGTGTTGGTAACATTCTATGAGCAACATCAAATACTAGTTTTGAGTATTCAAAAACATGTCAGAACTACCCACTAACATAATATAGCTATTAACTAGTTAAGAATATGATATACAAAGAGTATACTGACTGTACATTCAAAGGATTCTTCTTCATCAAAATTCAAATCAGTGAACGAGATATACATTGGGAGTAAAAACTCCCGATCACCAAACAATCTGTTTTGTACTGCGTCCAAAACTTTTACGAGGCATTTGATTGCGCCTCGTATATCAGTTTTTTTTTCGAATGACATGCGTCATAGTCTTATTCATAATTCGAGTGATTGAGATACGCAAATTTGAGACGAATCTATGCCAACATATACTATGGAAAGATGCTAATCATCTCGCATCTTTGGCTTTTTCTTCTGAATAACACTGTCTAATATGGACGAATAATCAACAGGCAAACCAGCACGTTAATTATTGATACTCCTGCGATGATAAAAATCCGTAGAACCATTTCCTACATTACATTAAGTTCAAACATGAACGATTTTTAAGGTATGAATTTTTCTACTGAGACATTTAAGTAATTACAAATGTTCTTGATCTTGATAGATCTCATCAATTTTAAAAATCTACTTTTAGTTATACTCGAAAAGTAAATACGCTACTTAGATCGACCTCTATGTCCATTTATACGATAACTGTCGAAGGACGAGTCCAATCATATTAACCGAACTCGAGCTATTGTAAAAATACTGACTTTTCTTCTAAAAATTTTCTGTTTTCTCATACACTTTTTCGAGTTTGTCAAGAGTTTTTTTCGCTTAAAAGTGATCAATTTCATCATAATGTCGCTTGTTTTCCGTCTGGATCATATGTTCTTATTCTCAATATTTTATCTAATTCGCCAATTATTTCAATATCCGAAGTTTGATACCCAAGGGGTGGATCTACCCACCAATTAACTAAATTAGGACTATATGTAACAATATTATTTATTAACCAATCAGATCGTTGATATACCATTGGTATTGTACGTAATCCATGAATTAATAACTTTGCTGCACAATGTGTCATTCCATACATATGTGCACATCGACCATAACGTTCGTTTGATTATATGAAATAACCCAAAGTCACATGTGGTAAGAGATCAGGAGAATCAGGTGCATATACTATTATTATGAGACTTTGCGATTCAACATGAACGAAACACGTGTCTTCATGCGCATAGTCATACCAAGACATCGAAAAAAAAGAAAGAGAAAAGAAAAATACATACTGAATTCAATATAAGACATAGTTATTGCTACTTATCATAATAGACAATTGTAATGAAGGTTTTATCATTATTTCATGGGATATGTAACGCTTAAATAATGTTAAAATATATACATGTAATCATATTTGTGCGTCATCTATTGTTCTGCTCTTATTGAGTCAATGGGGAAACTTTCTTTTTCCTGAAGAACTGAATAGACACGATTTTAAGCTTCTTTTGTAGATTTTATTACAGTAAGAAAAAGTTCAAGAATAAAGAGAAAAAAAATAGAATTAATGTTCTCGTTTTTGGTTATACAATTTTTACACATGGATCGATTGGCCAATTATTACGATTACACTTTTGCTTCTCAGTTCGAAAAGCTTGTCCAACGACATTATGTGCAATGAGAGCATTCACTGAATCCAGTGCGTTATCTGGCAATGGTAAATGACCAAAGGGAGCTTCGGCAACGGTTATTGGCTTATCAGGTCTCGGTTGACTGGCACGAACAAAACCTGGATAAAACGTAAGCTTTACCGATCCAGTAACATTAGCACATAACTCTCGAATAACATTGATATAAGCTACTGTAGTTGTATTATGTAAACCACCACGCAAAATATCTTCAGCTAATTGAGCATTGAAACGAAACAATTCTTGTTGCATTCGTGGCGGCACAGATGCAGCTCGCAATCGACATGTTGCTTCACGAAGTGCATCAACACCTGGCGTTAGATTCCATTCGATTTCACCTTTTCCAGTTGGACGTGATTCAACAGATGCTTTCCAAAGTAAACCATATTTCAAGCCAGTTGTATTCAACTCGCCAACAAGTTCAACGAAAGTTAGTCGTTGTCCATCGATAGCAACCGGTCGACCTTGTTCAAAATTCAAACATATCGTTCGAGGTAAGAGATTTGAAGGAAGCTGTACAGGAAACTCATAGTCTAGATGACTTCGATTGCCATCTTCTTCTTCTTTTTTCAAAAATGTTTCATCTCCACTTGCACATGGATCATCTTTAGCAGATCGAGTTGATAAATCTTGACCAGTACACAATCGAATCATATCGAGACAATCTTTTCGTGTAAAGATTTCTTCCCAAAAGAAAATAGGTGTCCAAAGTGGTCTATTACCAAGATATTCATAAGCAGCTGTCATGAATCGAAGATTATTATTTTGATTCTTTGCCGATCCTGTAAGATAGACTTCTGCTTCAGGAAGTTGTTCTGCTAAACTCTTAACCATGAGAATACGACTAAGTGACGAATTTGGAAAAATACCTGGTGAACCTGGTACAATGACGTCACCCATAAGTAATGGGATAAAGTATTCACCAAGTTCTTCACGCATATCTTTGAATTTTGCATCGAACACGCCAAGCATGGATAAATTCTGTCGAATATTGTGCGCATCATCAGCAATGCCACTACCACCAATACCTCCGAAGTTCAATGTAAAACTTCGTACTTCAATATTAAAGAAACGAGACAAGATCAATGGGATAAATGATGTATCGACGCCACCACTAAGTAAACCACCTACTATTTTTGCACCATACGGATTGACAAGATCACGTTCATACAATGTCATTACTTTGTTTTGTAGATCTGGTCGTGAGTTCAATTTCAGCATCATATCAGGATTTGGAGGTGTTGTCTTCTTATTTCTCGATAACAAAACATATGCTGACATAATACTCTTTTGTAGATCAAGCTGTTGCTGGTCGATCATTTTCTCCTCTTCCATCTGATCATTTTTGTGACAACTATTACAGCTAATAGCTGATAAATTTGCACATGCGTTCACCATAATGAATTGTAAATATTCAATATACATAGGTCAGTCAATAAGTCCTAATAATCTTCATATATAATTTCATCTCTATTGACTTGATGGATCATATTGGGTTACTCTAGTAGCGACATCTGTCGTGTATCCAAGTACCAATAGAAAGTTTTAAAACTGTCAAGAATGACGGACCGTTAATCAGAACTTTGAGCACCCCTATTTTGACATGGATAAGCTCTCCATACGCTCCTATATAAAGACTCGCTCGCTTCTGGGTTTAGCCGCTACGGAAATTCATGATGAATTGGTCACTGTTTATGGTCCATATGTAGTATCATATTGCACAGTCGCACGTTGGATTCGTCGATTCTCCGGTGGACGGGAGTCGTTCTACGATGATCATCGAGTCGGTCGGCCAATCACCATGGTTACTCAACGGAACATCGACGGTATTGAAGACTTAGCGCGTGAAGATCCCGTATAAGCATTGAACATCAATATACGGCACCTATTATTGCGATGAATGTTTGACCGAAACCGTTGGCTCGAAATATGTGCAAGAAAGATCATCAGCAAAGATCAGTGGTATCCAACCGCACCATGACAATGCGCGCTCACATGTCAGTGGCATCGTACTTGACTATCTTCGCGAAGTCAAACTCAGCGTTATGCCTCATCCGCCTCACTCGCCAGACCTTCCTCCATCGGACTTCTGGTTGTTTACACGTCTGAAGCGCAATCTCGGTACATATCCAGATGCTCGAAGTTTAGCCAGAGCAATCACCATGGAGCTCAATTCGATTCCCATTGAGGAGTATCAAAAGACATGCCACAAGTGGATTGAAAGGATGAAACTTTGCGTTGAACATCAGGGCAACTACTTCGAACATTTGATGTAGAAAGATTGGCAAAAGGTTTCTTCTTTGAATAAATATTTGAAATTATTAGAACTTATTGACTGACCTATGTACATTACTCACCATATCACCTGATACTTTATGTTTTTTTACTTGGACGATTAATGAAACGACGAGACGTCTTGAGAGATAAATGTCGCACAACGTAAATCGATGGATGATATTGCTTGAATATAATAAGTAATTGAATAAAAATAAGCAAAATAAAAAACAAATGATTTCTCATCATATTGCTCGATATTTGATCCTGTTAAACTTGAGTAAGTAATAAGATCAGATAACTGAAGAGTAAATGACTGGATCAATGATAAAGTTTAAATTGAATGATTGCTTGCAAATGAAAAAGTGACAGCTAAAAATGACAAGTCACTTACCATGTTACTCGACGATTGATGTCATTGTATAGGGTGGCTAATAACAAAACTGATCAAGTTGAGATAATATACATCACACACAAGGCAGTTTGATGCATGATATTGTTCGAATTGGAAAATCAACTATAAAAGAACAAGATAAAGCAAATAGTAATATAACACTTACCATGCTCTTGTAGATCCATGCTTTTCGAATTGAACTGTTGGTTGAGAAAAGAAAGACAAAAAGTATTTACTTATTATGTTAGTGCGTGGTCGATGTCCACTGAATTTCATAAAATGATGAGAATAAGAAACAAGAAAACGAAGAAGGATAGACAAAAAAAAGTGATGAACGTTCTCACTTGAAATGAAAAGTGGTTATTTTACATTTCGGTTAGATTCCACAATAAACAAAAGTAAAATCATCTATAGATGTTGAGTGTACTTGCGATATTGTTAATCGTCAAAAGTACCTTTAAAAACATGACAATCGCACTGCTAATGAAATCGAATTGCTTGTGTTGCACAGCTAATTCTAAAGAAAAAATTCAATGGTTAGATCGAGAATGAAACTTGATCATAATCTGAAAAATGTTCTCCAGTTAAAAATTCTTAGTAATATATGGTTTATTCTATTAAAAACCTCAATTCGGCGTAAAAATGAATGTAGAAATTCCAAGTAAAATATGCTTTGAGAAAGAAATAACATTTTCTTTAAGGAAAGCGTGTCTCTTGCTGCTTATTAGACCAACTTGAATTGTCAATAAGATAATGTATTTTTTAATACACATTGGATGAAATAAGAAACATAATTGTCTAGATTGCCACTAGGAAACTATCATCATCATCGATAGACAGAACTGTTGTACACTCTTGATTTGAAACTGTCTAATTGCGATAAAAACAATTGATTCCTGAAAAATTGAAAAAAAATAGAGGTATCATGAACATCTATCTTTTCAATATGCTCTTATATGAATAGTTTCGCAGCATGACTTACTCGATACTGTACTTCTCAATCGGATCCTAGGCTATCACATTGGCGAGTGTTCGCGCAACACAGTATATCGTCTGAAGAATTGGGCCACTGCTGTAATATTACTAGATAGCTACAAAAAAAATTCACGTAATTGTAAAATGAAGGAAACAAACACTCTTGATATTCATCATCGATTCCAAGGTTTCTGCACCATCTATTAAACTGAATGATAACGAAA